CTTTGGGCACGTGGTGTTGATTTTCACTGGTATTTACAGCACTTTGGAACGGAAACCTTCGTATTCCTTGCTATTTGCAGCACTTTGGAAGGGTGTCTTTCATATTTCGCGCTATTTACAGCACTTTTTATCAACACGCATCAAAATCCATGATATATGCATGGAAATCTCAAAGATAGAAATGTAACCTTTTCAAAGATATATTTCCTTAACGGGGGAGACAAAATGGACACACACACACACACAACTTCAGATTTTGTATAAATCCGTGACTAAAACATGATCATTTTGAATACTTTTTGCATCGGAAGCACAGGTCCCCAGAGAAACACTTCTACAAGTAATTTTTCAACAACAACAACAACAACCTCCACATTCTTTGCTTTTTGCAGCACTTTGGAACACATGTCTTTCTGATTCCTTGCTGCTTGCAACATGTTGAAACAAACAACCTTCATATTCCTTGCTATTGGCAAGAAATTGGAAGGCATGACCTTCATGTTCTGTGGTATTTGCAGCACTTTGGAACGGAAACCTTCGTATTCCTTGCTATTTGCAGCACTTTGGAAGGGTGTCTTTCATATTTCGCGCTATTTACAGCACTTTTTATCAACACGCATCAAAATCCATGATATATGCATGGAAATCTCAAAGATAGAAATGTTTTGGGTGCTCGGTCGGGCGGTCTTTTTGTTAAATAAGTCACTTTCACTGTGTTTTACAGGCAGATACTAAAGATAGAAATGTCAAAAGCTCATATTTCGCGCTATTTACAGCACTTTTTATCAACACGCATCAAAATCTATGATATATGCATGGAAATCTCAAAGATAGAAATGTTTTGGGTGCTCGGTCGGGCGGTCCTTTTGTTAAATAAGTCACTTTCCCTGTGTTTTACAGGCAAATACCAAAGATAGAAATGTCAAAAGCTCGGTCGGCTATAGACCCTGGTTTTTGACTTTTTTGCATTTCTATCTAGTCTGCCGTCATTATATATATATATGTATGTATGCATCTAGGATGCCTAAATAATGTGCTGCTGGCGAATGGGAAGGAAGCACTTCATCAAGTAGGAAGCAAGGGTTGCTCAATAGCTCCGGTACAAGGAGCTTGGAGGTCTCCAGCAAAAAGCGGCAATGATTCAGAAGCTGAAACCGATGTGTTCAACCATACTGAATACAGCCAACGTGATAGTTTAAATTACACCAGCACAGACTCGAAATCCCATGTTGGGTCAGACAGCTCACGAGGTGCAAAAAGAAGTAGGTCCGGACGTGTAATGTGATGGGATCAGCTGACGGCTCCAGAATGCAAAGAAAGTTTGCGATCGGGGCCTTGCTCCAGGGGTTCCGAGCAGACTTGCGATCGACACTGGGTCCGAAAAAGAGATGAACGTTAAGCCAGGTTTTTGGCTTTAAAAGTTGATGCTGAACGCCTGGAAGGCCTCACATTCCCAAGGTTTCGACCGATCGGGTTCCAGGCAACAAGTTTCCAAAAAAGAAATTCAGCGTTCCGGGTTCGAACCCCCATCGCTTACAGGAAATGGGAGGGTTCTGGGGTCTAACAGACCTGGACCTTTGGGGTGGGCCTTCTTCGTCTGCTCCGTCAGGACAATCCTGCGTGCATCAAGTGTAGAACATATGCCACCACAACACCCTCAAACAAAAAGACACCCGTGCATGAGAGCCCAAAGAAAACGTCAGGACATGGACATGCACCAAAGCCGTCACAGAAAATTGCTTCTGGCAAGCACTAAGTCCTCAATCCCATCACAATGCTGAGGGATTGGAATACACCTGAAACACAAGAGACAGAATGTGAAATCATCCCACAAAAGTGTATGTACGCAGCTGAGGCAAAAGTTTAGTTTTGACACCAAGGGCTTTCTGCCACCAATGCTTCTAGGTTGCCAACACTGTTCCTCAGATACTTCGAGAAATTGAGTGATGCAAACACTGTTTGGATCGGACCTGAACTGGGATGGCAATGCTGACTTTGTCACCTGCCTGACATGGACATCTTTGGAATGACAACAAGTGCCGAGGAGCCGTTGCACGGAAAGCCACTCACTCCAAAGCAAGGATCATCTCCCTCGACTGTGCCATTCTCGTTGACCTCGTGGTGACATGTGAGTCTGCAGATTGGCTGTTGCTGCTGCTGGTTTAGTGCGCCGATACTTGCGTGGCTACTATTGTTTCCCTTCTACTTTGCGGTGTGTTGCACAAACTTGCAGCCAACAATTATCTGCGAATACTTCAATCCTCAGAAATTGTCACCCATGTTCAAGTATGCAAATAGAACAATTTTACAAGTTCTTTGAAACTATTAGGTTGGAGGCCATCGGCATCGCTACTAGGGTGGAGGCCATCGCTAGAAACAAAGAAAAGGTTGACTGGACAACTGGGCCCACTGCGCTGGTATTCGTGAGCGACCGATTCCCTGGGAGTCTTGACATTCTAAAAAGGACTTGGTCGAAGAGGTTGAGTCAACATAGTGTTTCTTTAGTAGCGCCCTTGCTCCTAGTAGTAAGGCCAGGAGCCCCTAGTAGCGTCCTTGCTCCTAGTAGCGATGCCCTTTGCTCCTAGTAGCGTTCTTGCTCCTAGTCCAAAGATTGAGGGACGGACGTAGAAGTTCACATTCTGCTGTGGTCACCTCCAAATCGAGGAGTTCAAAAGCATTTCTTGGCTGGTTTGACGTGTGAGAAGACAGCAATATCAAATATCCAAAATGCCAAAAGCACTGCAAACTCTGGATTCCAAATAATTTAAGGTCCTATTTCACTCTGGGGTGGACAGCGGTTATTGGACATGTCCTATGGAATTCCCATGGAATTAGATTGGTGAAGGTCCTCTAGAAACGGAGTTTTAATGGCCGCTCAAAGAGGCTGGGCTTTTCCTTGCCAACTTGGAACCGGACGTTGCGTTGGACAAGGAGACCCCAAATATCCTGCAAGGTGTCGATGGAGGAGCATCTGCTGAGGCTGGGGGTAGAATCAATCGTCTATTGTCTTCCAACAGCTGTAGTGATCACCCAAAAAAATCATAGATAATACTGCTGCTGTTAACAAGAATGACAAGCTAGAAAAAGGAATAGCTGACCTTTGTGCTCTTTCAACAGCGGATCTCCGGAAATCAAAAGCTGCAAGTCTGCTGTTCAGCACAATGTCTTCATTTCAAGCCCATGCGCATCTGGTCCTCATCACCACCATTCTCGCAATCCTGGCATGAAGAATGCACGCTGTACAGGCTTAGGGTGGAAGGGAATGGAAGGGAGAGAAAATGGGAAGGAACTGCACCGAAATCCTGTGAACTTCCTGAGAACCTTCTTTTAACGCAACTAGTAGGAGGGCAAATCGTTCATGTTGAACAAACACAACTCTCCGCAAATGCCCAGAGTGCATCCCACCTGCCACCCGTCGCACAGGCATGAATCCGAGGGGCACAAGGCGCACACCTTGCCACTGCGTCAGAAGGGGCACGTTGCTTTTACATGTAGCGTTCTTGTTCCTAGTAGCGATGCCCTTTGCTCCTAGTAGCGTCTTTGCTCCTAGTAGTAAGGCCAGGAGCCCCTACTACCGTTATCGTTCCTAGTAGCATGTAAGCTTCCAATCGATCGCATGCAGCATGCATAACCTGCATGAATTGCAAAACCTCGTGTTCAGGCCAAATCAAGCTGGCAAGTTGTACTGTATTCATTCGGTTCACAATCTGCAAATACAATGTGGCTGCTGTTCTCCAAGTGGCTCCCGGTGCACACTCAAACTCCGCACTGGAGCAAAGTTCAGGTTCCTCCCAGGCAAAAATTGCACGATGCGGTTGGCCCAAACTCTGAGTGGTCATGTTTCTTCCAGTCACCGGACGCACACTTTGAACACAAGAAACTTCATCGGGCTGGCTACTTGTGACTGTTCTTCAAGGCCAGTTAGCTCACCCCGGTGCCTGATAAGTCACGCTCACCAAGGGTGTGCCCAGCACGATGTGGGACACATTGAGAACCCGAGATCCATCCTGGGAGGGCCAACGCGAGAATTGGGAAGCGGGGTCTATAGGGAGTGGCCAATCAATGCCTCTGGAGACAGGTGCAACTTCAATTCACAGGGCGTCTTTCAGTGTTCTTCTTTGTTCACACTCTCGGCCAAGTCCAAGCTACGTTTTCTACAATGCCTCCTCTTTGGCTAGTCCTTCAGGAGCGCAGGAGGACAAATCAAGTTAAAATTTCTGGGTTTGGACGAGATCTTGTCAGCAACGAAGATTCTTTGTAACGTCAAACACACAAGAAACGTGACATATACGCGTAGCACAACGCAAACCCATGCGACGAGGATGCACCTTGGTTGGTGCAGAAGGAAGCACTGTAAAACACGGCAGAGCAGAGCCCTTCACTTCATGATGCTGGGCCCTGAAACCCTACAGCGGTTCCAGCTGCATTTTCACTTGCTGCACCACATCTCTTGCAAAGTCACTGCCGATATCACTCGGTCCGGAAACATCTGACGTATGGCCAATCCCTTCATCCGTCTCAAGCGTTTGAAATGCATTTTCACATGCATCTTTGGCCACACACTCCTCCACTCTTCTCAACTGAACTGAAATGAAATCATCCACTAGATGGCTGACAGTTGCCCAACTGTCAGCTCTTTCAGGCTCTTCAACTTGAGCGTATTCCAGCAGAGAATGGCCTGACATATCATGTGGTTGTTGGAATTGAGAGACATGATCCTGGATCATTTTCAGTACCTGGGCGGACTCCACATCTGTAGCCTCTGACACCACACTGATGTGGTCATCCTCCGACTTGCGGGGGATGGACTGCACGGACTTTGTCTTCAAGTCCGGTTGGAGAACCTCTTCCATGAGCAGCTCTGTGGTATCAATGGCAGCTTCCTCGGCCAAACTCCCAGGATCTGAGAGAGTCTTGACAAAATGCGCAGAGGCAACACTGGGTGTTGCAAACTCTCTGAGCAAATCGAGCTCCCGCTGAATCACATCCTTAGCGATGCTTGCATCAACAGTGCTTGCCTGCTGCGAGACAACAGAGGACTCACCGCCTGGGCTTGAAGCCCGCTGAATCTGCTTCAGCAAAGCAAGCTGATCCTGATCTTTCAGCCGCTTCACAAAAGAGTACAAATGCCTTGCAGCAGTCACCTTGTCTCCAAAGTCAAGCGCTTGGCTTGTCTCCAAGTGCGAGACCGCCTCGCTAAAGCTTCCAAGCGCTCCTGTTAACCTGACTTCGAAAACAAACAGCCCAGATCGCACACGCGCCACCCATGCGTGATCAGGATGTTTGCCAGTAATCTTCTGGAACATGTCCACTAGCATGGTTAGAGGTGGGAAACTGTTCGATTGGCTCATTTGACCTGCCATGTCAACACACTTCGTTTCAAGGCTAATGCCAATGAAAGCCTCCTCGACATCAGGAACTTCAGCTGCCGAATCTCCGACATGTTCCGCTTCTGCTAACTCTGCCAACAATCTCTGCATAAACGTGCTGGAAGTGAAATTTTGTCGGGTGCACAAATCTTCTCGTCCAAGAAGCAGCATAGCCCCTCTCACCATTGGCCACGATGCAAAGCCGGCAGCCTGCACTGTTGTGCAGGCCTGCTGCAAGACATTCTCTGAGCCATCCTGGACAGCTCTAAGAACACTTGCCTCCAATCCCTGCACTTGTTGGAGCCGGGCAGATGCTTCTTGGCACAAGGTCCAAGAATAGCACCCCAAAACATCAGCACGAGCCAGTGCAGCAATGATGGCAGTCGGAGAAGGAGCTATTGGACGCGACATCACCAGCAATTCCAATTCCGCCTGCATGTCCACGAATTGCACCAAGCGTCGCTTGCCAAGCTCCAATTCCGGCCAGGGCACAACACAACCTGGCACTCCGGAAGCATCCAAGCAAAATTGAAAGTCAGCCTCTGCCACAGCCGCACGCAGGTGTTGCAGGTTGGCGCCCCTCTCTGCAGCCAGGATTTCTCGGGTCAAGCGTGCTCGTCGGCCGGTCACGTCTTCCAGCCTCATCTGACCATACTGGAGGCGAAGTGCTTTCAAGACCCAGCCCAATGGCGGGGAAGGATCTTCTCCAATGTGCTCCTGGACATTTTCCAAAACATCGTGAATTCTGCTCTGCAACCCGCCTTCGTCACTGGACCGTGCTTGGCCGAGTACATCAGTCATCTCGGCAAGGCAATTCTGCAGCACCTGCAAACGCACCTCTGCAAGCTCAAGCTCTTGCCACTGAGCTCCGAGTTCCTTGGCAACATTCACCGTTGCTAAGACCCTTTCAATATCAGCGGATTTGGCACAGCTTCTGAGGTCTTCTCTCAAGCTTCGAAGTCTGCAGCAACGCTTTGCGAGAGTCAAGGCCAACTTTTGGAACTCGGGTTGGGTCGCAGTGAGTGGACCTAGCAGATCACCTCCTTGACGGTCACTCTGCTCAGGAATGATTCCAGCAGCAGATGCTCGGCACATCAAATGTTCAATGTCCTCAATTCCAACCCACTCCATTGCAGCCTCCATTTCCAAACGAATGCCTTCCAGAACTTTTAACCTGTCACGTGCCCGTCCACATTCTGGCCAGTTTTGTGCACCATATGTGTCAGCTTGGCTCAAGATTGAGATAAGTTCAGCAATGGAGCTTCCTTGTGTCGCCTCCAGCAGTTCTGTGAAAAGTCCTTTGTGATGGCTCCATCGTCCAAGCTTTGGGTCACTGCCGTGGATCAATTCATGCAAGCTCTCTCTAGCAACTATGCCTTTCAAATTGCCACTGCGCAAGCGATGTCGTGGGGCCGGGGCGTGGGGTTTCCCCGTCTTCGGTGGGGCAGGTTGAAACTTGGCTGAAGTTCGTCCAACTTCAAAGCGGCAACCTCCGCAGGCTGCTGGTCTCTGAAGGCTTCGTTGCGCAGACATTGAGACGAAGTTCCATTGGTCGCGGCAAAGCTACGCTGCAATAAAGTGTTCTTCATCTAAAACTCTAAAACGGTTCCTAAACAGCATGCTTCCTTTTCTCTACACTGTTGCTGCATACAACATGCAGTCTGAAGTACAGTCTTGGTGACAAATGCAGGCTTTCGGCTTTCGACCTTAAAAGCCCGAAGAAACTCTGACTCTGCAGACTTTGCCAACATCTTCAACGAAAAGCAAGGAGAGGGAACATGAAAATGAAAAGAAAGAATTGGCTCCTGTCATTCCCTCTCAATAAGACTCTTAAGTATCAACCAATCAAGACTTAAACAAGCAAGTCTGATTCACAATGGAGCCTTAATGACCTTGGAAAGTGTGGCTGGCACCTGAAAACGTCGGTCGAGAGATAGATTGGCTTTACAGATTCCATGCAAAGTGAATGGCCTCCTCTTTCATGTCAGTATGCGCAAGATCCGGAGAAGGGTCCTGCGGTGTGGTCAAAGGATGTCACAAAGCGTCAGAGGTTAGTGCGACACATTTCTCAGGAGAAGCTCAGCTGGTTGGCAGGATGGCTGAAGCGGCTACAGGAAGCGGCAACCATTGCCCGTCATCTAAATGGGTTCGGCTAAATAGGTCATTAGCTGGTTGAGACCTACTGTAAATACCCTTGAAAGCTCATCCGTCGGAATCCATCTCCTGTGACACATAGGATCCCAGGCTGCCTTGAATTTTTTCGGCCACCTCAGCACTTGCTCCTTGTAGTAAAACAGAATAAAAAAAAGAAACAGCTTCTACCAGCAGCAGCGTACAATGACAATAGAAATTATCTCGAGCTCATAGCATCGCACTCTCTCACATCTAAACGAAAAAGCCTTGGCCTCCCTACTGCAAGGAGACCCTGGGAGCAGTACACTTCCGCTTGCTTCGATTGTGACATGATAATGCAACTGACGTCAAGGGTTCACTGCCCATGAAAGCGTCCAACGAAGTGGATGAATCTGGCAACCAAGTGAAGCAGTTGTACTGGCTCTGTGATGCTATCCTCCAGCCCCGTGCTGTCCGCGCTGGCATTCACCTGCATGTAAGATCATTTAAGATTGTTTTGGTCGTCGCAGAATCCACATGTATCCGCCCAATGCTTGCCAAGAAATGCAATCGTTCTCGCCTTGAACCTCAGCTGCTGCACACCTCCAGCGCCGAAAACCTTACAAAGACAGGTTGCGGCACAGTAAAGCACGATGAAAAAAGCACAGCTTGACCCATAGTTGCCCCAAACAACCCCAAACATCCAATTCTGGTACGACTCCTCAACGACTCTTGGCAACAGCTTTCGAGCGCACTGCACATGTGTTGCGAAAATAGAGGTGTGTTTCCTGGGTCATGTGCAACCACATTCGGCAAGTCCAAACTGACCTGCAACGAAAGCACGGAGATATGAATCTTGGTGAGAAGAACTGGCCTCAACTGTCAAGCCCTTTCCACCCCCACAATCCACGAAAATCTGATCTGAAAGGTGAAAAGTCAAAAGAGCCTCCAGCTTGCCCTCAAAGAGCAACTCGTCCATGGTTGTTTCCGCGGTACTCGTCGTTGCTTGCTCGCTTGTGCTTGCACCCCTGTCAAGCAAATTGCCCAAGTTGTGGAGCGTGTGGTATGCAAAAGCCCCCATCAAACAATCAAGACTTCTTTGCCGAGCTGCGTGGAAGTTTCCGTGGTAGTTTCGTTCAAACTAGCCATGGCAGTGGTGGTTTCTGTCACCTCGGTTCAAAGGTTCAACTATCGCAAGGCCGCAAGGCACTGAAGGGAAATTGTTGTCCGCAGCATAGGGCCAGGAAATTCAATTGACTCCCTTCGCGTGTTCCAAACGGCTGCACGGATGAACAAAATGCTGCGTCCAGGAACTTGTATTTCCTGGCAGCCCCGCTGTTGTTTTGAAGTCTGCAGCCTCAGAGCGAGCACTTCTATAGCAACAATTTTAGTATTCTCACAAAAGCAATTGCCAGCGCTTGCACAGCTCCCTTTGAACTTGTGAGAAACTGGCATGTGGAGGAATGAAATGCAAGGCCTGTCTGTCAAAGGCAGTAGAGCCGTCATGGGCAGTGACAAAGTCGGTCGAGACCTTGGCTTTAAGGAGCATGATCAATGACCCGCACAAAGAGTTCTAGACAAAAACCCTTCCAGGCATCCAGCATTTGCATCGACGAGGTCACACCCGTCCGTCCTTAGTCATGCTGAGGCGGAATTATTTCTGTATTCTGCCAAATCACTAAATCACTACGTCTTTATCATCTTTCTTCCTTCCACCACCATCCGGGCTTCCAGGCGTTTCAACCGTCAAAAAGATCGAAGCGTTGTTTTTGGTCCTGAGGCTGATGGGTCTGTCAAACAAAGCGCACGGCACTAGAGCTTTCGGGCTTTCGGATCTTCTCAGTCTTTGCCGCCCATTTGTACCCCATTCAACTCCGATCCCAAACTACACAGAGGTAGTGGGTGTGTCTTGAACTGTGGACCTTGCTGAAGTAGCTTCCAAAATACAACCAAAGAGATACTGTACAATCCAAAAGTTTCATCTAAGGCTGCTTGGGTGAGTCTGTAAATGCTGACAGCTCACAGTGCAGCCAAAAGATATTGTGCTTGCCACCGCTCCAGGGGTGGGGAGCTCCTGGCGTGTGATGTCTTCGTGTGATGCGTTCGCCTGATGTGTAAATCTCACAGGGCAAATGCTAATAGCGTCCTTGCTCCTAGTAGCGATGACCTTTGTTACTAGTAGCCTTTTTGTTACTAGTAGTAATGCACTGAACAAAAACCGTTTCTATCTTCCTGCCCCTGGCAATGCACAAGGAACCCTCAAGAAGGTGCTGGGGAAGCACCTCAGCTGTCAACAGTCTACAAACAGGCGAGGCTTCTCTGGAATATGATCTCTGAGAATATAAAGTATCCAAGCCCTGTTTGGTTTTTGCAGCCTACTTGACCCCTCCATATCCTTAGACTTCATTGCCATATCCTCCTGTCTTTCCCTTCCCAAAGTTCATGCCAGGGAACGAAGGTCGTTCCAAATGTGCATTTAAACGTGTCCTCAGGGGGCAAAGCGGGAGAAAACAGAAACTCACAGGCTCCACTCTTTGCGCTGTTCATGTCCAAACCTTGATGCACAAAGCAGCGCTTGTATTTTCTCCACGTCTCAGTCCCTGGCTGAATCGCACACTAGCTTCGCTTCTTGACCAATTGGTGGGAAAAGCCTGCAGCTGCAGCAACAAGACAAGCTTCTTATCGGCCGCCTTCATCGTAAGAACACGGACAAGTTTATATTGGGATCCGTGATCTCTCACCGAATCTGTGGAGTTTCACAGAGTGCTCTGGTAAGTGGGCTTCTCTTGGTCCAAACCTTTCAGCGTGCTGGGAATCACACGAGTCACAGTCACCATCTGTCTGACAAGACTTGCCAAGATGGAGCTCATCCTTGGCTAGGTTTGGATTCTCGATCGATTAATATTCAGATGTGCCAAGACCATCAGGTCAGCAATGACAAAAAGTCCCCAAAATAGATGTCACCATGCCCGGGCTACAGTTGGACCTGCACCCAGCCAACTGGTCGAAATCTCGATTGCAATCCCACCCCAGTCCAATGGCCTCAAGCCTGTGTCTATCACACTGTGCGACAAACAGACCATTTAAATCCGCGTCATGGCCATGTCACTGAGCAACGTTCCTCCAGCAGCTTTGGCCTTGGTCAGATGCTACTGCAACAAAATCTTTACCCCAACCGACAGACTAGTGTTTCACAGCCAGAATTCCTTTCTTCCCTTTCTTCCCTTTCTCTTAGGAAAAAGGTGTGGCAACCGTTGTGATGGCCTTGCTTTGAGAGGATCTACCACTTGCAGCCCTGAAATAAGAACCCTCCATACAGATTGCTGCTACTGCATTTGGGAGAAGCTACGAGTAGCTGTCAACAAATCAAAACGGCAATAGAAACCTTAAGGTTGACGGATTGCTGACACTGTGGAGAGCTCCGTTGCCAATCTTCATGTGGTTTTTGCCTGCAGATCGCTCTACAGGCCGACAGAGAGTACAAGGCCATGGCAGTGTCCTTCGAAGATTCGAGCCAGCGCATCCTATGGAGCATTGAAGCTCTCGCTTGCCTGGCAGGCTGCTCAAGCTGCCAAAACGTCTGCATGTTTGCTGATCTGCTTTTAACATAGAAATTGCCAAAACGGTTCGTCCTGCCAAATGGGCGCCTTTGAGCTTGGCGAAGCAGCCGCACATGTCGCCCTGGACCTAGAAGAACGGAGACAAACTGATAGTCCGTACAAGATCCGAATGCCAAAGCAGGGCCATCAAGCCATATGAATCACGTGCCGTGCTAGGGGACGGTTCTTTCTTGCTTTTGGCAGAAGGAATTCCTTCCTTTCATGATCGGCCCATCTCAGCTTCCAGCACATGGCCATGTTTCTGCCAAAATCTGTTCAACCTGTTTTCTCCACCACACGTCCCAAACAATGTTGAAAGGACTTCACGCTCACTTGATCCGAAAGTCAGCTTTGGGTGTTGAATTGGATCAGGGTATCAGTCGAACGCTACCACCTACAGCAACCTTGCAACACTCTCAAATTTGTCACAGCCAGCTAGCCGCTAGCCAGCCATAGCCAGCCATAGCCAGCCTCCAGCCCACACCGTGGGAAGTTGGAATTTGCCAAGCGAGAGTCTTCACCTTAGGATGATGTCGAGTCAAAGGTCGGAAGTTGTAAAGGACCAAATCCTTGGCCCTTTCCCTGCAGCTGTATTGAGGCTCCCACAAGCGCTTGCGAGGTAGCGTTGGGCAAAGGTCGGACCTGAAGCGGGGATGGTGGAAGGTTGGATGGAGGCCATCGCTAGTAGTTCCAAAACAGGAGACCCTACTCTTGTGTGGACCTCATCCCGCCTTCACCTCTCCATGTTGCCGCAATCATGTCGTGCCGCAAATCCTGACAACACAAAACTTCCTGTGACTAAATGGAAAATAACACATCTGCCCTTTTGACCCGTAGTCGTACCTATTCAACTCAAGGGCGTTGTCCGGTCAGTAAAGTCTCGAGCTTGTGTTTGGGACGCTGTTGCCTTCGGTGGAAGCTAAACCCAGTGTCACCTGCACGGTCATTTCCGTGGCGAAGATCGCTGCCTCACAGCGCTGAGCGAGCTCACCAACCATTGTTTGCAAATTCTCTTCCAAGATGTCCACCTCACTCTACATCCGAAAGCCTCCTATCCCAAGTATACAAATATATATATATATATATCACTCGAGCTGTTTTCCGCTGGTTCAAAGGTGCCCTTCCTGCTTTGCAGGATGATCATGTTGCAACATACACTGGAAGGGAAGTCGCGTCCAACCAAGATCAACTGACAACATCCATGTTGCACAATGTACAATGTCGACTGTAGAGGACGAGCTTCTCTTTGGGAGGCCGGGCGGGCCAGAAAGCTTGACACCAGCGATGGAATGCTTAGTGATAGTGAGATCACTCGAGCTGTTTTCCGCTGGTTCAAAGGTTCCCTTCCTGCTTTGCAGGATGATCATGTTGCAACATACACTGGAAGGGAAGTCGCGTCCAACCAAGATCAACTGACAACATCCATGTTGCACAATGTACAATGTCGACTGTAGAGGACGAGCTTGTCTTTCCAACTCTAACTTACTGCTTTGCGCAAAACAAGCAAGACGGGAACACTCCCTGCACAACTGTAGCAAGTTCTCCCTCCAACAATGCTATACGACGACGCACCGCCAGGTCAAGATCAAACAAGAAAAGTTGCGCTGCGACCTCTTGGATGTAGTACTCCAATGTTTTCTGCCGGCTCCAGCGTCCCCACCACTGTATGGCAGGAATACTTTCGTTCTCAATATATGAATGGGTTGCGCCGCTTCCTCTCAAGACACCTGGCGTCACGCCCCTTTCAGTCTGCCTCCTAGGAATGCCCAGGGGAACAGGCGGGCACTCAAATCCCAATCAAAATAAAGACAACCTAGCAACAGCAATAGAGAAGCGTCATCCAACCGAACGTGTTGTCGCCTTGCAAACCGGGCAGTCTTTGGGTTGCTGACATGGATGAACAACACCTGCTGCCTCAGCATGGCATCTTCAGGGAAGACCAGATCTCGTCTGGTCAAATTCAAGTACTCATTTGGGCGCAACATCGCCCCAAATCCAAGAATCAACATGCCAGCAAAACAATGCCAGCCCCACAACAATGCCACTGCTAGTGCCGCTCTGAACAACGGAGCGGGTAAAACTGCACGACACTGTCCAGGCTCCTCCAACTGCCATTTGGCATCAACTTGCCAAGCTCCTGCCAACTGCCGCCTGAACTCAGGACGAAGTTGTTGAACTGCTGTAATGGCATAAACAAGAAGATACCTTGGCTTCCCTTGCCGGAAAAGGTCAAGACCGTAGCCGCGCAATGCAAGATTCGCTGATTCAGCTGAGCTCAAAACCTCGGTGAAAGGAACACGCGCCACATATTAGAACACCAACTATTGAAGGCTGCAAGACAATGTTTCATCCGCGTGGAGGTCGCCGTGGCAAGCCCGCCAAGAAGATTCAGTTCACCACGCGGTGTATACCCTGCCACGAGTACCAAGGGCGCCAACCCCACACCAGAAGTCGCAGCTGCCGGCCAGAACCACCGCAGCTCCCGCACCACTTCCAGTGCGAGAGGCCAGCTCATGCGCGCCCGGACTCGAACCAGAAAGCTTGACGCCAGCGATGGAATGCTTAGTGATAGTGAGGCATATACAAATCAGAGTCCTGAGTTTATCTGATATAGTGGTCTTCACCTGAAAGTAAAACACGGAACATAAATCTGCCTTGCCGGTAGCTCTAAGCTTGCACATCACTGGTAGCTGCAAATGAAAAAAGAGAGGAAACAAAAGGTGTTTGGGCCCCTTTAATAAGGCTTTCTTTGAGGGGCCTCATCTTCTTTTCCTTTCTTCTTTCGTCCTCAAAAAAAGCAGGGCTGGGGATTGTACAGCATCCATCTCGCCGGAAAAAATCCTTGGCTCGATCCAGTGACCAGCGACACCGAATCCAGTTCACTAGTGATTGACTGCGCATCACAACCTCTATTTATGTAGGAGCAAGAACGCTACTAGGGGCTCCTGGCCTCACTACTAGGAGCAAGAACGCTACTAGGGACTAGGGGCTCCTGGCCTCACTACTAGGAGCAAGAACGCTACTAGAGGCTCCTGGCATCGCCTCACGGTGCGATGAAACTTCTCACATAGCACCAGTCGACAACTGAACGTGAGTCAATCCTTCGACAAGTCTCGAGAGGCTGGTTGTGTTGCCACCGAACATGACCTTAGCTTCCAACTTCCACTCCAAGCAGCTCGTGAATTTCAAAGTCTATGAAAACTTCCAAGGCATGTTCCTAAACTCATTCAACCAGTGTTGTGGAGCTCTCAGGCTCAAGAGATCACTCTCTGACAGTGGTTGATCCAATGTTCCATTCAGAACCCCAAAGCCAGGCCACTAGAGACTTCGCAGCAGCAGAAGACCACCCAGAGCTGTTTGCCACTTCAATTGTTCTCTGGCCGCAAGTAGCACCTGATAGATTGTAGATTGAATCTGGATGGTGTCTCTATAAAATTGCGAAGCTGTCGTGGTTTCACACCAGTGCGGCCATCAAGTACAACAGACTCGTTTGCTTGTCTGGAAGCAACTTCAAATGTTTTGAGGAAACAACCTGGCGCATTCGTTCAGTACGGCTTAGGCTCCGCGCCATCCTGAAAGATCTGCTCCCCTTCATCCGGGCCAAAGGAGAAACCCACGAAGTGAAAAATGTCATCATTCAATGCTGCACAGCCAGCCGGCCTCAAGGTGGATGCAGGAGATTCTTTCTTGTGTCTTTCTTGTCTTTTGTTCTTTTTCACTATATGCTGTAGACCTTTCAACTTCCCTTCTTTCTTCCTTGCTTTACCTTCTATCACAGAAAGTCTTTGAGTTTACCATGTTGTCAGGAGCAAGTTTGAATCTCCGCTTCAGATCCACTGGCACCCCTAGGTGTCAGGCTGCCATAGACCACCAGTGGGTGACAGTGTAGCCTCTTATTGATCTGTAAACTTCAAACACCAAAGACGAGATGTGATATCATCTTTACAAACACAAAGACGAAACTGACACCTGCTTCAACGTGTTGCATCTGAGGACTGTTCTTCGGAAGTAATGTTGTGCCCGAGAGCGATAAAAGATTGCGGGTAGCAAAACAGGCAACACGGATCAAAGGCAATGGCCAAATGACCATTTTCATCCACCATCAGGTAGGCACCTGTGACAGTGAAGCTCCCAAGAACCGGTTCAATCTCTATTGACTCTATCCCAAACTCAACGTCACTCCAAAGAATTCAAGCCATTCGCCTCCAAAAAGGTGAGCAACTGCACAGGAGCTGCAAGTAGTCTTGACCTGTGGCTCACGAACCAACATTCACAACTACAGAGTTCCTACTCAAGCGCTCAAACTGCCCAAGAAGGGTGTGGGAACATGAGGGCTTGCGTTGCTCGCGTACCCACAAATGCCAGGCTTGTGCTGCTGGAGTGGCGACCTCGCCGCATCTGGCCGAAACCCCTTGCAAACTTGCAAAAGCTGTGTCAAACCGAATCAAGCAAAGCAAATTCCACTCCTCCTCCTCATTTTGGAGCCAATCTAGCCCTGGCAGGCTAACACATGACAATGATGGATTCAGAAACTATGATTCGGAAGCCGTAATTCCGACTAATACAGCTGGATTCCAAAACTATGATTCTAAAACTACTCTATATACTATATATCATATGTTCACAGAAATAGACTATTATTCCAAAACTCGCCCGTGATTCAGAAACCAAACCGACCGATTCCTCACCTGGTGTCTGAAAAGATCACATACTAGCGATGGCCTTCACCCTAGAAGCAATCGCAGCTTCGGAATAGTGATTTCTGAGTCGGAATTTTTCCCTGACACGACTTGAAGGTTTTGAAATGCCATAAAGTGTCTTCATCGTAATGTTCAACCCCGCTACTACTGATGCCTGTGAATAGCAGCGCTGGCCCTTCGATGCGGTCATAACCTTGAAGAGGCCAGTTTCAACTCGGAGAGGAAAACAACCTGATTGAAGCCCTCCACCACAACATGTTCAGTGCAAAAGCCTCCACAATGAATGAAGCCTCCTCGTTGGGAGCTGAAATCCGATACTACCCCCCGTTGAGGCCCTTTCACTGTCGGTCACTGAGCTGAGAGCTTGTTGCAGCACAACCTCCACTGCTTTCATTTCCTTCCTCACCTCCGCAAACCGGTGGGCGAACCGAGCAGGCCCGGCATTGGGCGCCCCCCCCCGACGGAGTCACTGCTTGTCACTACTAATGGGAAGCCACAGAACGATATATGCTAGAACACAACAATAGCCTCCTTGAAACTCGAACAGTCGAATGGTTGCAGTCTGATAGCCTAAAGTTGTTCACTTGCGACGATCACCGGCATCACCAGCATCACCAGCATCATGTGTGGGGTGGGTGGACTGGGCTGGGGTATGCTAACGTTCGAAACCACTTGCAGCCCTGCGCAGGATCCTCCTCATCACCATTAGCATGGGTGGGGTGGGGTGGGTATGCTGACGTTCACTCGCAGACCATGTTCTTGGCCCATGCGGGCACACCGCTACTGAATTCATTGTATTGTGTGTGTGTGTGTGTCTTGTTCTACCAATTGAACAACACTTGAACTACTTGAACCAAGAAAAAGACGAGCAAATTAGCGTCAGAAGGGGCGGTCAAATTAGCGTCACAAGCGACGAACGAATTAGTGTCATAAGCGAATGCCTCACCGTCCAAATTACGCTGACATGTTTTTCCAGCAGCTATGCACATCTTAATCCTATTGTCGTTTGTCACTCGGGGGCCAGGAAGGCTTTAGCGAAGGTATACCGCGAGTCCTCGCTTGGTCTGCGATATGCTTGTGCGTAAAACTATTGGTCTGGCGAGTTCTTTCTTGTGGTGGGTAAGACGATTTACGGGTTTTTTTTGTATTTGAAGCTTCGTTGGAAAATGACAGATTATGGATAAATTGGGATGTTGCAGCAAACCGTGCAAACCTGTTGATCTTCGGGTGGCGAGAATGCTTATTTTTGATCAAACAACTCAATTCATGTCATAAGTCATGTTTTTCATGAGTTCATTAGCGCGGAAATCCCCCCCCGACGGGTTGTTTTTGTCACTTGGCATTATCCTGATTCGGCAAAGCTTTCTATATCATTAGGAAATGTACAGAGCAGTATCCAAACCCTCAAAGCGAGCGCTGGTGGCAAAGGACTCACAATCTCAAATTGTTTACCTGTGGTAATCACGACAATCACCATTATCCTCCTTAATGGTTAGATCATGCTCGATCATATTCATTGTATTGGTTTTAAGTCGCCTAAGGGAATGGATCAACACGATTTCACAAACAACGTGCCTAAAGTGGTGCATTCCAATGTGATAAGCTCCATCTCGTCTTCAAGTTTTTTGGCCTGTCAATGTCACTCGAAAAACACAACTAATGAAACTATCGCTACAACAATGTTGACCAAGGAACAACCCTTCTAGACTGCTTGTTTTATTTCTCTGCTGCCAGGGCATGAACCCTTCCTGGTTCCACTTTTTTCCCGGTCAATTTTTGTTGCCCTTCTATTCACCGCTAGTCTTTCCGTCCAACCTCAATTTTGAGGCTGTGTGCCAAATTTGGCAGTCACGATCACAAGAATCGAAGGGCGCCCTTAGCTATCTTTAGCCTGCATCTATAGTTTCAGCCACACCTTCACAGCATCGAAGTGGTGCAGTGCCATCAGTCCCAAGGCCGGGCCTTGGGAAGGGAAAAACAGTTATCTGGGGACTCTTATTCCAAAATCAAGCAAGCCTGTTTTTTTCAGATCATTTCACGGTCCAACCTGGAAAGGCAAAAGTATTACAAAAACAGATGAAGTCTCAGCCAGTAGACGGAGGGCAGCAGACCAGTTGCCGCGCACGAGGCAACCAAAGGCCTGCTCAGCCAAAGGTAGGAAGGGGGCAAGTGGGCAAGGCATCACGGACGATAACTCTAATGAGTGGTCGACAACCTCCAACAATACCAGAAAAAGTTGATAATATCAACTCAGAGTGTGATTATAATGAACTAGACAAAAATTCACCGCTCCACCGGACAGCTACTGTAATCTTCCTCTCCCTTCAGTTCGAAGGTCTGCGTTGGATCAGAAACCTTGGCGCAACCCATTTTGGATGTTGATATCCACTTCTCGAACTCACACGCGTTCGCAGTGAACCTACATACCAAAAGTTTCTCACCCGCAGGGTCGACACCCAGAGCATTCTCCCCGGGTGGGGGATGGGCAAAAAAGGAGCTAGGGAGGCAGACGCTGTCTTCACGTAGGCCTTTAGCCAAACTGGGTTTGAATGGTCGTGGAACATTGGGTTTCATTGCTTTAACTAGCCTTGGCTGGCCCGTTTGAAGAAGAAGAAGAAGAAGCGTGGACACTCCAAAACTGCTTTCGCCCCCAATCAGAGTTGCAATCAAGGGCCACAGTTTGGACGACGCTCCCGACTCGCTGCCCCTGCTTCCCATCTTGATCTTTATGCCGAGGGCGCTGGACGCTAAAGTCAATCTCAATCGCGTCATGGCTCCAGAGGTGTGATGAGCCAAGCTCGGCGGGCCACCAACGCCAAGTTCCATCGAGTTGGACGACAGGAAGCTCGTGAACACTGCGGGTCCAAGTCTGTTTCAGCAAGATGTGGGAAGGAGGTTCAGGCACATATTATACTCTATCTATCATGACTATAGCATCCCTGAATTTCAGTAGGCTGGTCTGTGGCTTCAACTTCCCTCCTGCTGCTCCTGCATGACCGCTTCGTTTCCTTATACAATCAGCTCATCTCACTTCATCTCTGCCCAATATCAACGCAATATGCGAGGTCCCACCTTCCATGTTGCTTGAACTGCCTCAGACCCCCCCGGCGCTGCTGCTGCCTACTCCTACTGGGGACACGCCAAGGCCTGAGGGCAAACCAAAGGCAGCGAAAGCGGAGCGGAAGGGGAACTAGTAAGCCGCCCTGCAAATATATCCATCCAAGTCGAAGATTTCAAAGCCTGCAGCGACGAAAAACTGCGGAGGAAAAGAAACTCCACAGCGCGCCTCGCCGTTAGTGTTGTTGTTTAGTTTCAACATGTTAGAACCGTTGCGTGATCGGGTGGCTGTGTTGAACTTGGTCGCGCGCAAAATTGGCATACATATTGTCCAGGACCAAAGAATGCCGCGGGCGTGATCAGCTACTTGGTTTGAAACTTTATTCAAGTAAGTTCAAAGTTGCGCGCCTCCTTGACACTGAACTTGGATACAGTTTGAGTTTGATCTTGGGTTTCAGCTACAGGGGTCTCTTGCTTAGATCCACACATCTACAAACGATGGACGTAAGCATCGCGGGCGGGTCGCGAAGGAAAAAGATCTCTGCGTTCAGCTTGGCAAACTTACCAGTTCTGAGCGCAAAGCTCCCAGAAACCGTTTCCCATGCTGCGTTTGCGCTACAATGCCGCTACAAAGTTGCCAGTTCTGAGCCCAGAGCTCCAGCCGTCGTTTTCGACAACAGTGAAAAACTTCGGCGACTTTCACCTTGATTCTCCACGACACTTAAACTCACTATTTGGCAACGTCCCTTCATTTTCGACGACACTTACCACACTTGGCAACACAGCAGCGGCACCAGCACCCAAGCTCTCAAGCGCGCAAAGCAGCGGCACCCTCCAACAGCACCAGCACCCAGCAGCGGCACCGTGCAAAGCACCCCAAGCGCACACAGCAGCAGCACACAGCAGCGCTGTATTGCCAGCACCAGAACCAGGCTCCCAAGCACGCACAGCAGCGCCACGCTGCAGCGGCACCAGCATCCACACTCCCAATCCACCCTGCAGCGGCACCAGCACCCAGGCTCGAAAGCGCACACATGCAGATTTTCTTTTTCTTGAAGCAAGAACCCCAATAGCTCACGCTTTCTGGGGAAAACAGAACATACCGCGAAAAGCTTGGGCTTCTCGCTTCTTGGCCGAAGGTGATGCAGAATGTCAGTGGAGAAGTTCAACAAACGTTCGTGGATTGAGTCGATTGGACAAATCATATAGACGACGGCTCAATGGACCACAGACTTCTGCTCTGCCCATTTTCATCCGTAAACCATGTTTTTCCATATTTCGCACCTCTCGCTGCTCGAGACTCGGCCGTGCCTGCGAGCAAGTTTCCCGTTGGGGGGAACTCGCTCGATTACGTCCAATCGTGCGAGCCATAGAAGACGAAACAAAGCTACACGAATGCTTCCCCAAAGACAATCGCTACGATGAAGCCAACACCTATGCAATCTCGTGAATATGATCCCTCTTGACTTAGATTGCCATGGCCCCTTCACAAGCCCAGTCCTCTAAGCATCTGCAAGGATCGAAGTCCGGCAAGGTTGGATTGCAGCCATCTCCAAGACTTGGGCAGGAGATTGCTGTGCACGAAAGTACATTTCCAAAATGCTTGCCAGCCTGGTTTTTCTGGCAAATGTCTTTGTATATATGTTGGACCTTTTGATGTGCAATGTGGATCTGAGAACCTGCGAGTGCATGCCAAGTGCGTGCATGTACTACATACATCATATGTGTACTTATGCATACATGTGTGTGTATATATATATATATACATATACATAATGGTCGAAAGTAACCAAACGTCCTTCATGCATCTATCGGAGTCTGAAGTTTCCGACAAACTGAGACTGTGGCTGCTCACACAAAGACTCCTGGGAGTTTTTTGCGGACACACACTCAGGGTGTTTGGACATGTACAACGCCAAGTCCAAAACAATTGCTGAGTGTTTTCAACGGCAAACATCTCATTCTAGACTGGACTATAGAACCCATGCTACACCAGCAGCAGAAGAGCCTTGCATTGCTGCCACGCAAGGGATCCTTGACCTGTCACCACAGAAACTAGAGGCCTCTTGAGCCGTTTTGGCAAATCCTACATTACAACCTTGAGCTTCTTGTTAGCACTTTCGTTTATTTTTCTGATATGTCTGGATCTGCGCACTGGACCCAGATCTTGTGATGCCTCCCGTGATGTCCAAAATTTGGCAAAGATCCTGCTCAGGTTGGGAGAGGTTCCACCTAGGCCGATTCTCCAAACCGCATCGAGATGCTCCTAGACAAGACTATCTATCTATCTATCTATGTGCATATACATATTACACAGAACTGATACACATTGGACTCTTTCACTCCAAGAATTCCCAATTCATGTAAACTGCTTTTTTTGTCTTCTCGACTCATGTAAACACGAGGAAGTGAGGTGTTCCGGCCAAACTCCGGTGAAAAGCACTGTTCCAAGCAAAAGTGTTTTCTTTGGATTGCACCATTCCATTCAGCGACCACTGAGAAGGGCTTCTTAGGTGCAAAAAGGCTGGGTACCCAACGCCGCGGAACTGCATTCGAGGCAGGCAGAAGCCTGGAGCGAGCAGCCCGCACAGACTCTTAGATAGTGGTAAGACCACGCAATCAGCGCCCCACGCCAGACACGGCATCCACACACCGTCCAACTGGCCTTTGGTCTTATGCTCTAGAAGTATCATGGGCAAAAAACATGATTCTGTCAAAGGATCCCATCAAACAGTTGAGTTTCACTGGAAAAGCTCAGCACAAAGCACGTCGCAGCTCCCGTTTCCACAAGGGCGACATCCAATCTCATCAATTGCATGGAAGCATTCCTCCCAGTCTGCAAAAGTTCAAAGTTCAACTAAAAACAGTTTTGGATGTTGGCTCGAGTCACAAAGGACTCTTCATCTGGCTCTCCTCAAAACCATTACATCGTGTGGCACACACCTCATCAAATCTTCAGCTGCACAGATTCACACGTTGAGTTTCAAGCAAAACTCTTCTCCACTGGTGCCCCTCAGCTCCACACTGGTTCATTGAAGCGATTGTAGCAATACACTTCGCCCACCGCACCTCCCAATGTTTGGAGGGTCCATTTGGGTGTGTGTGTGTGTGTGTATACATATATATATATATGTATTTATATATATATAAGTAGGACTTAGGATGCAGGACGTAGTGTAGGGTCCATTTTGGAGAGAAAGGGCTGAATAGGACGTAGGAAAGGGGGGGCTTACCAAGAGACTGGCACCAAGAGTTGGGGCAGCTGCTTCATTCACACCGGTGTTACATACCCTGTCAGACACACATATAATCCCATTTCCTGATCCGCTCTGCACATCCCTTGGGCCCTTGCATGACAGGGCCGTGTTGCAGCTCTTGTCCCTCGGAAGAAATATTCAAATGTGCGTTCCATTACCCTCCTTCTCACCTGATTCCAAGCTGCAAAGGCGGCCCAGCGAAGATTGTGATTGGCAGGATTCCCTGAACCAATGGCACTCCGGGAGTGAATTCAACCGACTTTGCAATGAGAGCGAACGTCAGTCACTATCAACAGACTCTACTTGTTGCATTGCTGTTGCTGTATGTGTGCAGGGACTCACTTAAGTGCCCAAGGGCTCGAAAGATGCTCGAAAAGCGGGCCTCATTGCGAAGTTGCTCTATCAGTGTGTTCGCAGCTTCTGCCTTGGACGTGAAAGCTAGGAAAAAAGAAAAAGGAGACCTTGGAGAAACAAATTGAGAGCTTGCCGCATCTGAGGTCTCCTGCTGCTGTCTCAACTGGCTGAGTGGCATCAAAAAGATCTACAAAGTCACCTCAAAGGATGCTGAGCCCTGGCCCAGTGTGACTAAAAAGAACACCCATGGCCCATGAGCCAGTTCACTTCTGCTGCTACTTAACAAACAGTACGCCGTGGCTCTTGATGGTCACAACCTTTAAACCAAGTTTGCTGAGGTTTGCACAGGTCATCTTCTTCAATTGATTTCCATCTTTGGAACATACGCTGATCTCGGCTTCATAGGTAAAGACCTCCCACGCGGCAAAGGGACAGAAGTGTGCTGAGGATTCAATGGACATGTATAATTTCGTACTTCCCCAAATGCAAAGGGAAGCTCTTGTGTGCGCTCTCTGAGGGCAAAGCAGATCCAGACTTGTTCAGCGGAAGAAGGGAAACTCCATCAGGTGGTTCCTGGCATCTGTGAAGCTGCATCATTGGATCCCACAGTTAAGCTCCACCTGCACTTTCACAACTAAGTTGGAGGCCATCGCTAGTAGGTTCCTTTTGCTATCAGGTTCCTTTGAGTAACAGTGAGCTCAGAAGCCTCACCTCCAATCTCTAGTTG